CTCGCAAGGACTCTCGGGTCCGAGCACCGTTTTCCACTAACATGATCAATGCTTGGGGCCAGACCATATCAATTATCATCCCCTGATGACACTTTTTCCTCATTCTCCTCCCACCGACCCACTAACACATACAGAGTCTTCAGCATGACTAGACCGCCTTACCAGGCCTTCAGTCTATCTGGACCACTCTCGGAACCTTCATCATATCTGGACCACCCTCCTGGGCCTTCAGCCTATCTGGACCGTTCCCTGAGCCTTCGGTCTGACTGGTACGCTTTCCGGCCTTCAGTCTGTCCGGACCGCTCAAAACTGTCTTACGTCACCCTGAACCATTCATTCTGGGAATCTCTCTCGTACATACTGTTCTAGCCCTCTTGGGGTTCCGAACTCTTACTCCATTCCATATCCTCAAATCCCGGCCTAATCTCAGGCCCAACCTTCGTCTGTATGCCGCCCCAACCATCTGCCACCTACTCATACCAGCCCACGTTCTTGGCTGACTGAAACGATGTTGAAACCCACACAGCTAATTAACCTCTCATGTTGTTGATCCTCCTAAGAATTTTCCAATTCTCCCCACTTAGAGCACTGACTACCAACCATTGGTGACCCAACCAACATCACTTAAACATTCTTACTCAACAAATTCTCTTTTACTTGAACTGAATCAAAACGAGCAACCTCCACAAAAATCACTCCTTCGTCATCGCACATCTCGAACTCTAAGGGAGTTCGAATCTTCACTGAATACTTCTCAAATCGCAATTGTTATACCCGACAACAAGACCAATCAACCAAAATTTGACCATCAATCCCTTGGATGCTAACTGATTTCAACCCCTAACTACAGACACCTTAATAATACCATATACCTGAAAGACCAAACGGATACAATACCATAAATTATGCGAACAAGACTAGCAGATATAATACTCCATAACAACCATAAGATAACAAGATATCAAGAAGGAAACATACCCGCAGCTGCATCCGGCTCTGCCCTAACCTCCTCTGCTATAAGCTGAAAAGCACGCCCCTGAGCCCTCGGGGGCTCTGCTCCATCCTGACCTCCACCTGTAATCCTCAAATAGGCCGGTGCTGGAGCCTGCACCGGTCCTGCAGTAAGCTGTGGACAGTTGGCCCTCATGTGGCCAACCTGATGGCACTGATAACAAATCCTCATATCCTGTACTGGGCTGTCTGACGGCAATCCCTTATGTAGTGCCCCTCTCTCCCGCACTTGCGGCACGCACCACCAGACCTACAAACTCCAGTGTGACCTTTCCTACACTTCCCACAAGTGTGGCTGCTCTGATCTCCCAACCTAGTATCAACGGCCTTAGACCATTTCGGCACCGACTGCAACTGTGTCGGGGCTTGCCTCTGCTCCCTCAACTGTAACTCAATCTCCAACTCACGCCGCCGAGCGGCCTCCTGCAACTCCAGCAAGGTATCACATCTCTACGTGGACACAAACTGCCTGATGTCCCTCTTGAGCATACTCAGGTATGGGGACATCTGAGCCTACTCCAAAGCAAACTCAAGGCAAAACATTTCACTCTCAATAAACATTCTAGTGATCTCCATCACTAACTATGTATCCTACTTCAGCTCCAAGAACTCCTGAGCCAACCTCTCTCTCTCAACCCTTGGAACATAACGAGTGTTGAACATATCCCGAAACTGATCCCATGTAACCGTAGCCCGCTGCACATCCGAATATGACCCTGTGGTCAATCTCCACAAATCCTTCGCCCCGAGCCTCAACAGGTTCAGAGCACACCTCACTCTCTGATCAGCAGGGCATGAACACGTGAAGAAACACCCCTCCACATTTGACAACCATCTCATAGCAACAATCGGGTCCTGAACTCCATCGTAGGTAGGGGCTTCGTATTATCGAAGTCCCAATACTGAAAACCTCTACCAGCTCTTCCCCCTACTGCTGCTACAGCCGCTGTAGCTGCCGCGGCAACCATCTCTGTAAGAGCTGCATAGCGCTTATCAAAATACTCGACCATAGCGGTCTTGATCGACCCAAACAGTTCTGAAAACTCGGCCCGGAACATAGCAGCAACCTCATCATGCAGGATCTCACAAATCCTAGCATCCAACTTGTCTGTGCTCATCTGACCGATAACCTCGGGTGGTGCTCATCCACCCTAACCGCCCTCTCCTGCTCCCGATCCCGACCCAGATCCACTCCCAGCATGCCTCGTAACCACCATACTGAAAAACACCGCAAAACATCAGATACCTCCCACTAACCCGGGAATCAACCCCCAACCCAACCCTAGGGATTGTGACTTCCTTGATACACATATGGGTCCTGTGCTTTTAGTAGTACGGGCCCATACTACCTTCCACACCTACCCATATTTATATCAAGTATCACCACAACACCCTAGTGATGTACATGCATAACAAGCACTCAACCCTCACTCCTAGAGGAACACTGGAAATCTCATACAGAAAGAAACCCTAGGCTAGCAGGCATCATAAATCAAGCAACTCTATCATGAAATTCCTGAAGATCCCTAGCCTAGTACTAGCATGTTGTTCTATCATATCTCATAAACAAATAACTTGTATGGTATTTTGGGGTTACTTACTGGCTCCGGCTGATCGTACCTCCGCGTCCTATTTTACTCATTTTTGAAAACTATTTTGAATTCTCTTTTGAAAACTCTCCTTGATTTGAGACTGGATTCACACGAATGTTCCTCCAATTCACTCAAACCAAGGCTCTGATACCAAATTGTAACGTCCAAAAATTTTCAACCAATTTCAAACTTTTCAAAACCAACCCAATTTCATTAATTCATTACAAAAATCTTTTCAATACATTTATTATCAGAGTATTCCCAGAACCATATCATAAAACAAGAACATGAGGAGCGGTACGATCACGCCTTCACCTTGCCACGGTCTCTTGAAGTACCTAAAACATTAAACCACAACTGTAAACCCGAAATCTTAGTGAGATACCCCCAAAATACCAACCACATATACCATACACATAACATATCATAACAGAACAGCCATGCACTTCGGGTCTACTATGTGACTGGTCCGCCGCACCTGGCCTTCAGTCCACCTGGTCCACCCTCCGAGACTAGCCATATCCATCGAGTCTGCAGTGTGGTTGGTCTGCCCGTACCGGACCTTTATTCATCCTGGTCCACTCTCCGAGCCTCGGCACGTCTGGTCCGCCCTCGTGGGACGTACAGCCTATCCCGACCGCTCGCTGGGCCTTCAGAATATCCGGTCCACCCTGGGTATGTTAGCCTACAGCACAAAGCAGGACCCGCCTCAACCCAACCCCAGTCAACCAACCATGTGCACATAAATATATAACCATATAACAATTAATCATCAATCAATCGATCTAGCAGATCACATACATAGCATACTCTAACCAGGATACTGACCCAAACGGTCACTAATATAGCATCATCCCCTATGTACCAGGATTCCGACCTTAACCAGGTCCATAACATATACCATCCTAACTACCAAGATGCAAGCATATTGCAAAGCAATAACATAGCACATAACAACTACCTAGATTTCCATCCGATAAAGGGCCGGCCTTGGTGCCTTAGACCCTGTCGATATAGTAAGGATAACTCACCTCGCAACTGCTGACTGAAGAGTTAAGATCACGCTGCTCCAACCTCGGACACGAACTCCACCACTGATCAATACCAAAAGAATGAACTCAATAAATACCAATAATTACCAAATTACCCCTGGAAGTCAACTGGTCAACTCTTGGTCAAAGCCAAAGTCAAACTTCCTGACTGCCTCTACTCGCCGAGTCAGCCCGCTGACTCGTCGAGTCCCTATGCTCTAAAAATCCCATATCGAAACCCAACTCGCCGAGTCGCCCCAAGATTCGACGAGTCCCACGAACTCTGAGTCCCTTCATGCTCAACTCACCGAGTCATCCTTCGACTCACCGATTCATGACTTAACCAGAAAAGGTTAGGATTTCTCGACCAAACTCGCCGAGTCCAAGGCAACATTCATCTAACTCGCCTAGTTGTTCTTCCAACTCGTCGAGTTCCTGCCTATCTTCGAGGACACCCATGTGACTCGCCGAGTACCTCTATCTCTTAATCCATATAGTGGCTTTCCAAGCTATGCAGGGGCTCCAATCCATAGATTTATCCTTCTACAAGCTATTCCTCATGTAAAGTTGCAAACTTTACGTGAATCCTAAAAGATCTAATCATAATACGCCCTTGGGATAAGGCTTGGGACAAAAGAACTTGACCTACATCTCTTGATCATAGACTTTATGGCTCCTAGGGTCATTAAAAGCCTATATCTGAGGTAACAACCTTAAATCTTACACCAAACTCGAGATGGACCTCATTTATGCCCCAAAAACCCCACAATTGATAAATCTAGATGCACAAATGCTCAAGAACAGATCTATTACCTCCAATGCAAGCTCCCACTGAAGAATGAACCAAATCTCTGCAAAGCCCTTTGCTCCAAATCTTCTTGCTCTTCAATTCCCCTCCAAGATTCCCTCCTCCAAGGCTCTAATTTCTCACAAAGGAAAGCTCACACGAATCTACGGCTTCTAGAACTCAAAGGGAAGGTAAAGAAGCTGAGGAAGAGGTGTTATGTTCTTTATACAGGGCACAACCCCCGAGATTAGGGTTTCTCTCTTCAACACAAACTCGCCGAGTCCATCCTACGACTCGTCGAGTTGGTCACTTAACGTGTGACCAGAATCGCGACTCGACTCGCCGAGTCTATCCATCGACTCGCCGAGTCGGCCTTTCTTATTTACACTAAGAACCCTGAACTGGCACTTCTGAACTCGGGGTGTTACACTTGGTTATATCTAAGTATAGTAAATATTTAAACCTTTTAATATCCCTTTAATTTAGTAAAATCAGTTTTAAAACCCTATATATCATTGACCCATTTTGCCAAAACCCATAACCAGTTCATCACAATTTACGACAGCATTCACCTTCGTTTCATGCCTGGAACATCACCACTAAAGAGAAGAAAATTAGCGACTTCCCACTACCAATTGCATCCCTTCCTTGCGATCGATTAAGATTCATTGGCCATTTTCTGACTATTTTTGTGTTTCTTTCTTCTCCGATCAACAAAGGACCGAAGTATTTCCCTCCCTGCGTGATTGTTGTCGGATAGATGGAATAGCCTTCGTTGCCACTTGACAACAACACTGTTGCTTCCGTTCCTTTCATTTTCACGATTGGTGGCTGACGGAGAAGGAGATAATGAACCAAGGGAAGCCTGTCGGAGATTAGATCTCCCTTCCTTCCGTTCTGTACAGCCACCGGCGAACCCATTGGAGTTGCATTCAAGGGCTTTGTCATGGACGTTGTTCTAACACTATATGTAAGTGTTTGATTTTCCATAATTTTATTTACCCATTTGATACTATATTCTGGATTTTTTTGAGATCCATTATATAAAGATGGTGAAGTCTTCAGTCAATGATTCACTTGCTCAACTTGAATTTTACCACTACATCAAAAAATCAGATGGTGGAGTCTTCCGACTTCAGGCACATAGAATTATAGAATAGTTTCAGATAACATATAAAACAATTACTTTATCATGTTTGTATTCTATCTTGTAGAATTTGATATTTGAAAAAGACATTGGTGAAAAATTTATCTCTTATCTTCCTCATGAATATCAAGCACCAAAGGAATAATCTTCAATTAGTTGCAGTAGCAAAATCGCCTTAGTATCTAATATGATGAGGGTAATTCTGCCAGAATGGAATCACGAATTCCAATTCTGTTAGAATGAAATCTTGGATTCCAATGCTTAAGTTCTAATTCAACCTAAGCATTGAATTTTGTATGAGCTATCATGTCTAAAACTTGTTATTTTTCTGCACTTACTCATTGGTTTTTGCATTTTCTTCAATTTTCACTTATGGATTTTGGTGCATTTCACAACTATCATTCTATGAGAATATAAATATTACATAAAACATGGTTTGCTAGTAATTATGACAAAATACATTTATACATGCTTTAGAATGTTTATGCATATAGAAGAAAAGACTATGTTTTAAGTACATTCTGTAATGTATTCTGTTAGAATTTATTTATATAAATGCATTATGTTTAGAATGTCTTTGAGAATATTTGTTAACAACAAATATATTTGTTTAACTGGTAATACTAACAAGTAATGTGTCTTATTCTATCATAATTGTATGGAGAAGGAATTCAATGCTGATCATACAAGAGAAATATTTGGAATCGAGTTCAACAACAAATATATGTGAAGATCAAGTTGATTATATGGACAATTGAAGAGGATCAAGTGTATTTGTTCAATAATTATATATGCAAGAATGCGATTGTTTAAGAATTTTATTCATTTTCGATGATATTTTGTTAGAATATGTATAACTATATTAAAATGTATAAGGATATTAGTCTGTAAGAATATGTATGAATTTGTATTTAATTTTGGATGTATACGTATATGAATAATATCTTATTCTTAAATCAGGTCAATTATCAAATATAACTGCATTGGAAATGTATTCTGCAAAAATAGAACCGAAAATATATTTATTAGTTTATGGTTGGCATTCTATCATTCTGACATAATAAAATCGGATTTTTAAATTTGAATTGATTTAAAATATTCAGATTTTTTTTAAAAATAGAGGAATTAATTATCCCTTAAATTCTGGAAATTTCCATTTTTAATATAGGTAAATTGACCAAAATAGCCTTATGTTGAAAATTGTGTGATTATATGGTGCATGTTACCCTATTATAATATCATAGACTCTCAGATCGTGACCTTTGATTCTATTAAATCCGATTGTCCAGATCTGTGAATTTTGGCACACAATAGTTAATAGAAACAAAATAACCTAAGCCTATATATATATATATATATATATATATATATATATATATATATATATATATATATATATATATATATATATATATATATATATATATATATATATATGGAATGCATTAATGGGTTGATCATGTGTGGCAAGTGGGCATTTATATCTTAGGAGTTCATTACTGATCTGATTAGCTCAAAAGGTGTGTGATATATGTTCATCAAAATGTAACATTGATGATCATTAAAGAATTCAGAAGGATAATTGGAAGTAGAGTTTTCATCAAACTAGACATGGATTGTCTATTCTATAATTTTTTATCTTTCAATTGAACACCCTAGCTAAAGCCTTTTGATATTTGAGAATATCCTAAAAACTTGCCTTCATTAGCTTTGGTTTCAAATTTTGATAGTCACTTTGATTCATAATAAAACATATACATTCAATGATATGGAAATAGGATATAATGAGATTTCTTTCTTTTATTACTTCATGTGTAGTCTTTGAATGTCTTTTAACCAAAATATACATATTTTCAGCGTAACATGTTGAGTTGACAGCTTCATCTAAGGACTTTGATGACATGCTAGCTTCAACAAGCATGGTTCTATCAGTTTCAGTTATAGTTATATTTATTCTTTCAACTACTCCATTTTGTTGTGGAGTTTTAAAATGTGAAAAGTTTTATGAAATCCCTTTCTCATCATACAAGTTTTTAGTGGTTGAATTCTTGAATTTTATATAATGATCACTTCTAAGCTTTCATACTTTATTGTCCAAGGCCAGCTCCATTCTCTTTACAAAGTACATAATCTCATCGGCTACATCAATTTATTTCTCATAAACATTACATAGGTATACCTTGAGAATACATCCACAATAACCAAAGAGTATTATTTTCCAATTATACTTTGGACAAAAACATGTCCAAACAAGTCCATGTATAGTAAGGTCAGATGAGAGTCAACAAATGAGCATTCTTTGGAGTGAAATAAGTTTTTGTGATGCTTTCCACTTTCACAAGTTTAGCACAACTTGTCCTTCTTAGGAATTCCCCTTACAAGCTCATTATTTGATAGATTATGAAATTCCTTGAAGTTCATATGAGAAAGCCTTGTGTGTCATAGAAAATTCACATTGGATTGAGATCTCTACAGAAAACACATATTCATAGATTTTTTTAGCTAAAAACATGTAAAAACATAGGTTTCTTTACTTTTGTTTGCATTAAGAACCACTTTCTTGTCTATATCAATGATTTTTCCGACTTTCTTTGTGAAATGGACCTTATAATAAGCATCAAATGGCTAGATGGTTGATATCAAGTTGTGTTTAAGAACCTTTACATATTAAACCTTGGAGAACTTTACGGAGTTGCATTGAAGAGTTCCATGTCCTTTTGTTTGGCCTTTAATGTTGTCACAAAAAGTTACTTAGGCTACATCTTCTTTGACATAATCATTATGTAGGGATTTTGAACCTATCATGTATCTGGAACACACCTTGTGTACACACCATATCTGCTCTTTCCTCTGTGACAAAACAAGAAAAAAGATTAGTTCCTTCCTGAACCTATTTAGAAATGGGTTTGACTGAGATAGATGAAGAATGTGAGAAAATACGATAGCATTAAACATGTAAATAGTTTAAACAGTTTTCTTTTTTTATCTACTTTTTTATTACTTTGATATTTTTAGAGAGTCTAGCATCTTGTTCACAAGGACACTCAGTTTCCTGATTCATCTTTTCATTACGAGTTTGACACTATCTTTTATATTTCTTTAAAGATAAGAAACCGATTTTATTATTTTTGGTCTTGGGTGTTATAATCTTCCAGTGAGATTTTAGATTTTAAATTTTTTTTTCAATTTTGGAAAAGAGAAATATGAATTATCCTTTTTATTTTTCAAGTTGATTGATGAGTTGGTCGGTTGTCTTTTAGCATGGGCTGGTGCTGGTGAGTTAGCCAACTAGTCATCAGCTTGACAATTATAACACCAGGCTTTTCATGAACCATATTTAAAACATAATGTACTTCACTATTTAATATAGGAAACTAGGTTTTGATTTTAACATCAATGATATGTATTCTTGGAACTAACTTCTGACAGACTAATCATCATAGCTTAATGAGCTAAAAACTTTGATTTGTCCATGCTTATTTTGACAGAGGTGTATTTTTATGAGTTATCCATCTTTTGACTATCTGGATATAACAAACCCTGGTTAATAATCTTAATCATCTTTTGAGTTTGAAAAGATGGTTTTCTTCTTTATTGATTCAAGTTTTTCCTCAATTACTTGATATTGATCACCAAGGATCTTATTCATTTAAAAAGAACTACAAGAAAAAGGGGTATCAGAGACTAACATAATCAGTCTGCAGTGGTCAATAATCAATCTCTCATGAGAATCAGGGACTATTTTAGCAAGTCTCTGAGACTTAGTCCTAGATACTTAATTTTTTATGTATATGAGATTGAAAATCAGTCTCTAATACATCAAAGTATCAAAGATAGAAAATCAGTCTTTAATAATATATCATTGAGTCTCTAATTTTTTTCCTTCAAATCCCCAATATGATGTCGTGTTAGTCACAAATATTATCATCCAGTGACTGAATATCAGCCCTTTATAATATATCATTCAATCTCTGATATGTTTCATGGAAATCTCTATTCCATGTCATATTAGTCCTTGATACTATCTTTCAACGAATAAATATTAGTCTTTGATACTATCATGTTCAGTCTCCAATATCTTTCCTTCAAGGCCCAGTTATATCATATTAGTCTGTGGTGTTATCATTTTAGGACTGAATATTAGTCTTTTAAATTATCTAATGTAATCTCTATTGTTATTATTCAGCGACTGAAGATCAGTCTTAGATACATTTTTATCCGGTCCTAAATTGATTTTTCAAGGACTGAGTACCAGTCTCAGTCTCAGATAGAATGTGATTTAGTCTTTGATCTAATTTTTCAAGGATTGGATATTAGTCTTGGATACAATTTCCCTTAATCCCTAAAATGCGTTTTTAGTGACTAAATATTTGTCTAGGATATAATGTAATTCAGTCCCTAATAGGATTTTTTTTAGTGACAGAATATCATATTAAGATTCAATTCCATTTGGTCCCTAGCATGATTTTTAATGATTGAATATCAGTCTTGGATGCAATGTCATTCGATCCTTGAAACATTTATTCATATTTCTCCTTACCTTTTCTTAGTTTCTCTTTGTTTTCTTGAAGCTCCTCCTCGAGTGTTGCAACTTGACTTTTCAATTCAACTTTATCTTTTGAGAATGATTGAGACATTTTCATTGCTGATAAGATATACATATCTTTCTTCATCATAGAAGGTCCACTTGAAGTCAACCGTCTAGATAATAACTTTTTGTGTTTGGCACAAACGGTTTTAACGACATTTTTCTCTATATAATATTCAATTTCTAGAGTAATGATTGTGCATCTTGAAACTA